CGCCCCCGGCCTCCCTGGCCTCCCCTGCCTGGCACCTCCAGCTTACCCCCGCAGTGCAGCCCTCTCCCAGCCAAGATCACGAACCAGGTGCAGGAGAAGGGGTCCTCTGGGCCCAGGCAGGAGAGCAGAGCCAGAGGCAGCGTGGGCCTCGCTGTGGGGCTGACGGGTGCAGGTGCCGTGTGCTGTCCACCCTTGGTCTGCAGGACAATGAAGTGGCTGCCTTGCAGCCGCCCCTGGTGCAGCTGCACGAGGGCAACCCACGCCCTCGGTGGGATCCAGCCCCATCCACGGCGCGGTCCTGGCGGGCAGACGACATCCTGGCCAGCCCCCCGCGCCTGCTGGAGCCCCAGCCCTACCCCGGAGTCCCACACCACGGCTCTTACGTGCACCCCCGGCCGGCCCGCCCCACTGGCACTCCTGCCCACACCCACCAGGACTTCCAGCCGGTGGTGAGTGACCCCGGGGGCCACATGCCCACCAGCCCGAGCTCACACGGAGGGTTCTCTGGGCCCGGGACTGCCCTCTGCTGCCCGCCTCCGTCTCCGAGGTCAGTCCGTGCTTATGTCCTGGAGAAGCCGGGCCCGTGGAGTTGACAGCACTGGGGCACAGACCCTGCAGAGCCTCTTTTCCGGTGGCTGGCGAGGCCTGAGGACAGGGATTTGCTCAGGAGACGGACTGGGGAGGGTGGCTGATCCAAGCAGACTGCTGCCTGCTCCCAGGCCCCCAGCACACCTAATACCCCTGCCGCCCTGGGCCAAGGAGCCCCGGGCAGGGTGTCGGGCCCGGCCTCTGCTCCAACTCACCCCTACTGTCGATTTGGGGTGGGGGAGCGGCACCCAGGCCTGAGCACACTGACCACGGCTCCCCCGCAGCTGCACCTGGCCGCGCTCAATGGGCCGCAGCCTGGCGGCCTCCGCGGCATCCGGGGCGCCGATCTCCAGTGCTTCCAGCAGGCGCGAGCCGCGGGGCTGGCGGGCACCTTCCGCGCCTTCCTGTCCTCGCGTCTGCAGGACCTCTACAGCATCGTGCGCCGTGCTGACCGCACCTCCGTGCCCGTTGTCAATCTCAGGGTGCGTGAGGGGCCCGGGGGCCGGGGGGCACTGGAGGGCCACGCCCGAGAACCCACCAGGGCCCCGATGCGTCACATGGGCCTGTCCAGCCACGGCAGCCATGTTAGGCCTGGGGTCAGGAAATGTCCCTCAGGCTGCCCTTCCTCACGCCACAGCCACCGCTGGAGGCCCCTGTGCCAGTGCCCTTTGCGTGGCTCATCCCGTGGCTCTCCCATCATTCACCTTCTGGGTGCTGTGGCGGGGTGGCCGGTGTTTGAATGAGCACGCCCCACTTGTCTCCACAGGATGAGGAGCTGTTTCCCAGCTGGGGGGCCCTGTTCTCTGGCTCACAGGGCCAGCTGAAGCCTGGGGCTCGCATCTTCTCCTTTGATGGCAAAGATGTCCTGCAGCACCCTGCCTGGTAGGTGCCCCCCAAGTGAGTACAGCAGCGGGGCCCTGGCTCCCTGTCTCCGCTCTGACCTTATACCTGATCTGTGCTCGCTGTTTGAAGCTCACAAAACCCAGAAGAGCATGAATGATAAAAAGCGTTCTTTGCGGTGTCGTACGAAACACCCTCACCAGCTGCTCTCCTGGGGCAAGCGCCTGCCCCTCCTGTCAGGGAGACTGGCCGAGGCTGACAGCACCCGGCCTGCCATCGTCACCGGCTCCCCTGTCCATCACGTGGACATCACAGCCAGTCATTTCTCCTGCAAATTCCCCAACTTGGGATTTCCAGGTCAGGACGTGTGCACCTCAAATGTTGGCACACGTGCCGCTTGCCCACACCCGTCGTCCCTCTGCTAGCCAGATGTGGGGTGCCTGTCCCCCCAGCACTCATGCTCTCAAAGGGGTGGCCCCACCCTCACTGAGAAGCATCCAGCCCCCAAGGACCAGCCCTCAGGGTTAGCGATCCTGTTCCCCAGTCTGTGTCCCCCAAAAGCAGCGGCAGCATGGGTGGTGGTGCCGCCGTGACTGGGGTGGCCCTTCCACCGGCCCCCACATCCAGCTACAAGCTCCACCCTTCCTGCCCCAGTTGGCCTCCAACTTCGGAGGAGCAGGGCCCAGGTGACTGAGAGCTGCTGTCCCCTGTAGGCCCCAGAAGAGCGTGTGGCATGGCTCAGACCCCAGTGGGCGCCGGCTGACTGAGAGCTACTGTGAGACCTGGCGGACGGAGGCTGCAGCGGCCACGGGCCAGGCCTCCTCGCTGCTGGAGGGCCGGCTGCTGGGGCAGAACGCCGCGAGCTGTCACAATGCCTTCATCGTCCTCTGCGTGGAGAACAGCTTCATGACCTCCTCCTCCAAGTAGGGCTAGTGCTGGCGTGGTGCTCGGACGGGTGGACGGACGGACAGACGGCCGGAGAGGAGGCCAGGCGGCGGGGCAGTGGAGAAGCCCCCAGTGCCAGGAGGGAGTGTCGGCTGGCACCCCAGGGTGGGGACCCAGCTGGGACACTTTCCTGTGTGGTTCACATTTCATGTAATCCTCCAGAAATAAAAGGAAGCCAAAGAGTATTTTTTAAAAAGTCTAAAACCAAAAGCCTGGTGCCAAGACTCTCTCTCCTGCTCCCACTCTGCCCCAAGCCCCAGCTGGCCGGGCCTGGACATGCGGGATGCTGTCCTCAGTGCCTGTGGAGCCCTCTTGCCTGGAATCAGACCAGGGGGTGCTCCCAGCTCTGTTTCAGTAAGGCCAGCTCAAGCATTCCTGCCCTGGGGAGGTGTGCACCCCAGGCCCCCCGGTACAGTCGCCCCAGGCAGGTGCTGCTTCCTGCCTGGAACCCCTTCTTGTGCACAAAACCCAGACCTGCTTGCAGACCAGCCACGGCCTCCCTCCCCCTGTCCCGACCTGGCCCAGAGAAGGCCCACTGCCCAGGATGGCTCAGACCTTGAGGGCGAGGGGAGACCAGCTGTCTTGGCCCCTCACAGCAACCCCCCCTGGCTGGAGCCGTTTCCAAGCTCAGCGCCCCCTGCCTACTCTGGCTCCTGGGGAACCCTGCATGTTATATGTGCAGGTGGCCTGTGCACCCCTTTCTCCCATTCCAGTCCTGTCCCGAGGGGCCTCTGTCCCATGCTGGCTTCCTAAGTGGTCTGTCAGGTCACACCCAGCACAGACCCAAGGCTGGGTGCTGGGTGTTGTGAGGGGTCCATGAACCAGGGTATGGCAGCACCGTCCCCAGGCCCCAACCGCACGCTGAGCACTCCTTTTTCAGGGTAAGGATCCCCAATATCCCACACTTGCCCAGCTTTGCCCAGGAGCCCATCCGGAACATTAGGTCCCTGGTCAGACTGCCTCCTTCTGAGGCAGCACCCAAGGGGTTGCCATTGCAGGCCATGGCGCTCAGAGACCACAGAAGCAAAGGGGACGCCCATGTGTCCCCCCCCCCACGAGGACACATCACAGCCAGCATAGGGCCTGCCCAGTGGATCTCCGGGCCCCCGGATGAGACTGTGCGGAGGGTTGCAGCTGGTGCAGGATGGCACTGGGCCAGGCCCATGAGCAGGTCACCTGTGCTCGCCCCAGCTCACCACTGCCTGCACTTCAGAACCCATGTTACCATCCTTGTGGGAGGACTTCCTGGGACATTTCGGGGTGCATGTGGGCATCTCTGGGGGAGCTGGCAGGGGTCACTGTTGGTAGCCATACTAGAAGGGGTGGTGGGTCAGAGCCCAACCATCTGGACTGGAGGGGCTGACCCTGGTGACTGATATGGTTCCAAGTAGGCTCCCAACAAAAATGCCCATTTGCACGGGCACCGGTTTGTCGCCATTATGAGCCAAGTCCTCGGAGCCCACCCCTTCACCACCGAGGCTGCAGAGCATGGTGGTGCACAGGTGCAGTGTGAAATACATGGCTGTTTGTGGGTGTGTGCGCAGGTCCACAGGTGCACACGATGTACCAGATGTACACGATGTACCAGAGAACGACCTTCTCCTCTTGGGTCTCCCTGGGGGGCCAGCAGCCGTCTCAGATTTACTCCCCGGCTGTGCAGGCATCTGTCCTGGGATCCATGCCCAGCACTGTGCACCCCCAGCTGCTGCAGCCAGCCAGGCTCCAGATGTCTGACCCGGAGGGGCTACGCACATTGCAGGGAACAGGGCCTACTTCTGCCTGGGAATGCTCCCACGGCCCTGGTGGCCGAGCGGCTGGGAGCAACAGCAAGGCTGTTCCGGGGGCCTGGAAGCAGAGGCCGGGCAGCAGGCCACAGGGCAGACAGGCTGCCCAGGAATCAGCAGCCTTGACTTCAGACCTGGGTGGTGCAGGCGCCTCAGCTGCCCTGCCCTGCCCTGCCCAAGGACAGGAGGGGTGTGGAACGGGCAGCATCAAGGACATGGTGGGCCCTGGTGTGGGTCCCTGCTTGGGCCCAGGGGCAGGGACGCTTTCTTGGTCGCCCAGTGGACCCCACCCCCAGCCCCCCAGGCTGGCACAGAATCATGAGCCCCTCACACTCAGGTGGTATGGTTTGTTTCAGGTCTCATATCTCACAGCAACAAGGCTGGTTTCCAGAGCTCCACCCAGGTGGCACGTCCTCCAGGCTGGCGTGAGAACGGCCCTCTGTGACCCGTGAGGTAGGTTAGTGCAAACCCACTTCCGGAAGGGCGGGGGGGGACTGAGGATTTGCACCCAGCTTCTCCCACAGAAACAAGCCCAATGAGGTTTCTCATTTATGTCACTTAAAAATAAAAAGGAATGCAGCGTTGTTTAAAATGCGAGTACCTAGACACTGGAAATATCAGTTTAGCCAGGGGCCCTGGGAATCCGGGCTCTTACACCCGCCCTCCCTGCAGGGCCCCTGACACCCTGCAGGGCTGGTGTTCCCTGGGCTGGCATCTGGGGCCACCTCACCAGTCCCCAAGGACAAGTGGGATCTGCCTTCTAAGGGGGGGTGAAGGCCTGGTGGGTATGTGGAATCCCACCACCAGCCACATGTAGGCAGGGGACACAGTAGCCCCCAGTGGCCCGGCAGCTGCTGGAGTGTCCCCAGCAGGTTACAGGTACCGTCAGAATGCAAATCCTGAGGGGCGCAGGGCTTGGGCCAATGCTGTGCCCCTCGTTAAGGCAGGCAGCCCTCGAGGCGTGTGTCACGGGGACAGACCACACAGGGCCCGACTGGTCATTGGTTCCATAATCTGAACAATGGAATTCCAACAATGCCGGGGACCCCAGCTTGCTGGCTCCAAGGGGACGGGCAGCCTGCCAGGAACGTGACAGTCTGAGATGTCATCTAAGATGCGAAGGCCCCAGGCTCAGTGAGGGGGTGTTGGAGGATGAACGGCAGTCTGTCTCTGGTTTCAGGCGGGTCAGGCCTTGGCCTCGGGCTGCTGGCTCTGCTCCCTGGGGGCTGGCGCTGAGGTCCATGTAATGTCCTCTGGGGTCAGTGGCGGGGCGTCGGGTTGCAGGCTGCGGAGGTCCCCATGCTGCGTGCTCAGCGCCTGGGCGGCCTTCTCCTCCAAGGGGCTTCTCAGTTCCTGGGACAGGGGCAGGGGCTGGTGGAGGCTCCGCCGGAAGTGCCACAGGTCCCTGAGCCCGGCCACCAAGTAGGCAACGGAGAGCACCACGAAGTACATGAAGTAGACGAGGAACTGGAAGAAAGCGGTGCAGGGAGGTGGGTAAGGGGCAGCAGGGCGGGGAGCAGTTGGGGGCAGGCCCTGTGGACCCCGCCCTTCCTCCTGCTCAGAGGCCAGGACACCAGCCAGGGGACCACTGCAGGGGTGGGGTGGGCACCCAGGGGTCAGGCCAGCCCAGGAGCAGCTCCCACAGTGCACAAGGCCTGCCCTCTGCCCTGCTCGTCACCTGGAGCACTGCCCTGAGGGGCTCCCACTGCTTTCATGTAGACCCCCGGCACTTTGCTGCCCTTGTGTGGTCTCTGTGGTCCCCCCAGGTACTTTGCTCATTGTGCGTGACCACAAACGTGCACTTGGTGCCAGGGGCAGAGTTCCCACACTGCTGAGGGCTCATGGACACCCGTGTGTGCAGTGGAGCCGGGTCGAGGACCTAGGCAGCCCCTGTGAGTTGAGCCTGTGGCCACCCTGGTGACAGGTGAAGCTGCACAGTAGTGACGCAAGGGGACACATGCTCAGCCTGTGGAAATGTCCCTTCTGATTCTCAATACCACGAGGAGACAGGTGGGGGCGGGGGTAGGGTGTCTGTGGGCCAGACCAAGCTCAAGGCCCTCCCCAAGCCCCTCCCAGCACCAGTGCCCTCGGCCCTTTTAGGAAACCTGCTTGTCTCACAACAAAGCCAAGAAGGGAACTGTGGAGGTCTTTGCTCCCGGAAGACGGAGTCGATGGCTTTGCCCTATTCTTCCCAGTGTGACCAAAACCCTGGACGCTGCACAGAGCACACATAAGCTTCTGAAGGTGGAGTCAGCCTAGTCAGGGACCCCGGAGCCTGAGGCACATCCTGGTGACATGTGAGGTGTCCCAGGCTTTCTTTCCTTTTTGCAGTAGGTATATTGGGACCAAAGAAGCCAGCAACCCAAAAATGCCAACAAATGCAGAAAAAAGCCCAAACGAAGCTGTTCTTTCTGTCAAAGGATCAGGACAGGGACAGCCCAGTGATGGTGTTGCTCAAGGGCCAAACGAGGAGCTGGACCGGTCAGCCTGCAGAGAGCACATGGAAAGCCTGGCCTTTCACTCCCACCAGGTGGTAATGACCCCCAACTCCACCCCTGCAGACTCATCCAGCAGTAGTGAGTACAGCCCGCCCCATATTCAAACACCTGAAAATTAAAGACAAAGAAAAAAAAAATCTTGAAAGTATCCATTCAAAAAAAACCAAGGAGGTGGCACATTTTTCACAAGCTGAAAAAACTGTCAGCCCAGAAGCTATATCCAATGGCAGCATCCTTCAGAAATGAAATCAAGGCCTTCCCAGAAGAAAAAACGAAATGAGGAGTTTGTTACAAGCAGACCTGCCCTGAAATAAAAAATAATGGCTAAAGGAGGTTCTGTAAGCTGAAAAGAAATGATAAAGAAGGAACCTTGGAGGGGCCGGCCGAGTGGCGTGATGGTTAAGAGCTGGCTTGGACGCCAGAGGGCCCGGTTCGGATCCCACATATGAGGGCCAGTGACACTGCCCTCTACAGCTAAGATGCTGAACAACAGCTCAACCTGGAGCTGGGCTGCCGTGAGTTGCTGGTGACAGTGTAGGCTGCAGCCCCTGCGGCAGTGGGTTGCCATGGGCTACCGTATGTAGCCAGCAGCCAGCGTGAGTGGCCAGCAGCCACAGTGAGCGGCTGTCCAGAAGCCGGCGACTGATCTGCCTCGCCCGGGAAGAGCGCAATGATGGTGCCAACTTGGGCCAGTGAAGCAACGTCCTCCACAACTAGATTGAAGAACAAAACAACAGCAACTTGTCTGTTCCCCTTCCCCCGATTCCCCAGCACTGTTCCTATCCCCCCAATTCCCCAATAAAAAAAAAAAAAAACAAAAAAAAAGAAGGAACCTGGAGCAACAGGAAGGGGAAAGTGCACAGTAGGCAAAATCGGGTAAATAGAATACTTTCTTCCTCTTCTCATTTCCTAAATGTTGATGGTTAAAGCAAGACTTATAACACTATCTTCTGACTCCAACAATATATGGAGGAAACACTTAAGACAACCGTACTATAAAACAGTGGGGGAAAGGTGACATAAAAGGAGGTAAGATTTCTATACTTCACTCAAACTGGCCATTTAATACATAAAGTCATCATCAAAGAAAGCTCTAACAAGATATACACTCAAAAACACAACAGAGAAACCAAAATAAAATCCAAAAAAAAAATGTGCAATCAACACATAGGAAGGCACAATAAAGAAAACAAACAAAAAACAGAATAAAAGGAAAACAAAAAATGGAATGACAGACATAAGCTCTAACATATCAACAATTACACTAAATATAAATGCACTAATACACGAATTATAAGAGATTAGCTGATTAGATTAAACACATGACAGCCATAAACTGTCTACAAGAAACTCAATTCAAAAATATGTAACAATATAGTCAGATTAAAATAAAAGTATGAAGAAGGACATATAATATGAACATTAATCAAAGGAAAGCAGGAGTACCCTGTTTATTAATCAGGTAAGATACAATTCAGAGACAAGAAAGAGACAGAGAAGGACATTCTAACCCGATAAAAGGCTCACTCCACCAAGACACACTACAATCCCAAATTTATATGCAACAAACTAAAGAGCTGCAAAGGCGAAGCAAAACACATGATGGAACAAAAAGAAGAAACGGACAAATCCATAATTATAGATGGAGATGTCAATACCCCTCTCTCAAAAAAGGACAGGTCAACCGGAAGGTTGTACCTGGGGGCCTCAGTGACTAGCCTGCGGGGACACAGCCTGGGCCTCACTGGTGGGACATCTGTTGTGCTTGGCGGGCCCCTGAGATGTCCTGACCATTGACCTGTCCTCTGGCTAACTACAACTCGCTCAGAGGGGACCTGCCTTGGCTGAGGACACCAGAAGTCACACGGGTGACTGTCCCCACCTCACAGAGGACAGGTGTTCTCAAGCTCTTCCTCAGGAGCACCAAGAAGCTGCCTAGGGTTGGGCGAAGGGAGAGAAACCGGAGAGGAGCCAGCACACACCAACATCAAGCTCTCCGGCCCTGCGTTCACCTGTCCTCTGTAAAGAAGACCAACAGCTGTCTCGTGAACCAGGGCCCAGGTCTAACAGGCCTTGGCATCACAGGCAGAGACCTGAATGAGGGCGGTGAGCTATGACGGCACAGGGAAATGGCTCACGGCACACCTCCATCCTTCCCGTGACGTCAGCCAGCGTGGGGGACATCCAGGGCCAGGAAGACCTCCTCCAGAAGTGACCTATCCCCAGACCACACTTGGACGCCATGCCATGGCCAGACCTGGGCAGTGTTACAGCCCCAGCCTGGGCCCCAGGAGGGAGCAGAGCAGGCAGGCACCGCGGTGGCCGGATCGTGGCTTGTGGCACCCTGTCCTGACCCTCGCCTCCCTGTTCAGGGCCTCTCACTTCCTGCTCCCTCTCCGACCCACTAAGTCCAGCACATCCAGCTGGAGGTGCCCAGGCCGCCCTGTGCATGCCCCTTGCCCTCGGTGGATCGGTGGTCTGGGTGCCATGGAGGAGGCGACCCTGTGGGTCAGGAGGGCACCAGAGGACGTGGGCCTGACACAGGGACTGACCTGCGAGTGGACCGGGAGGCCCAGGCCCCACTTGTCGGAAACGATGAGGGTGATGATGGTATTCAGGATGGTGGCGAACAGGGTGTTGACACCGAAGACCAGGGCACAAAGCTCTTTAGAGAGCGAAGACGCGATCTGAAAGCTGAAGGGGAAAGCAGGCCGAGGTCAGCCTCGGCTGTGAGGGGCCAGGGCTTGACGCAGGCTCTCAAAGCCCGGGGAGCTGCGGGCCAAGGGGCGAGGGAAGTGTAGGTGCTCGGAGCTCCTGCGAGCCGGCGCAGGGGACAGGCCGCCACACCACAGGGGTCGGCTGCTCCGAGCCAGGAGGCTGAGGACACCGAGGGAAAGGCGAGGTGGGGACGATGTCCGGACACAGGTGAGGACAGGACAGCAGATGCCCCACGGCGGGGGCGGGGGAGGGGCGCCGGTGACAGACGCCCCCACTGGGTGCCGTGTCGCATGAGCACGTGTGGTGACCGTGCAGCTTTGTGAAAGGTCAGTTCAAAGAAACACAGAGGGTCTTAGGGGCAAGCAGGACGTGGGTGGGGGAAGGTTCTGGGAAGCAGACAGGCCAGTGGGCAGCTCTCAGGATGTCCTCGGGCAGGTGCAGGAGGGTGTGGGGGGTGTGAGGAGGGCCCTGGGAAGGTGAGCCGGGACACCTGGTCCCTGGCCATGAGCCGCTGCTGCCCGCAGTGGGAGCAGAGAGGGTGAGAAAGGCCATGGGGGCCACCGAGAGGGGCCGCAGCAGGGCCTGGGGCCTGGGAAAAGGGCAGACGGGCTGGGACGAAGGACCTCTCGAGGGCCAGGCCTGTGATGCCAAGTGGCCTGAGTGGGAGGGACAGAGGACATGCCACACAAGGGGGGCTCCTTGCTGAGCCTTGAGGTCACGGCAGATGGCTGGGATGGTCACACCACGGACCATGGGACAATTGGGCCCCTGGATAAGGCAGGGTTCTCTGGGCCTCCCACTGCCTGGCACACACCCCTTCTACCCCCCGACGTTCTGGGAGCCTCTTACTCCACACCGTCCCCCGCCCGTCCCCACCCCAAAGGAGAGCAGTGCGTGGCCCTCCAGAGACCTGCTGTCCACCAGGCCCTGGGCCGGGAGCCAGTATCCACCCTGCACGCCCCAACTCACGTGGCGATGGGCACGAGGAACTGGTAGAAGCCGCGGAAGAGCACAAAGGCCAAGTAGCACAGCCAGATGTTCTTCGTGCTGTACAAGAGGAAGACCAGCCCGGCCTGGGCCGCCGTCACGACCGCGATGACCAGCTTCGCCCACAGGGCCCAGCGGATGTCCACAAAGCCCGCGGCGAAGGCAGCGATGGCACCTGGGGAGACAGGGCCAGTCACTGCCGCATCCTCACCGGCGGAAGGCGGGCTGGAGCGGGGTGGGCGGGGCCGGAGGCGGGGCCACGGGCAGGGGCGGGGCCACGGGCAGGAGGCGGGGCGCCGGCCTACTTAGCAGCGTGGAGAGGGCGTCCGCCCCGCCGTTGTAGACGGCGGTGGAGCTTGTGGTGGGCTGGATCACGGTCCACAGGATGTGCACGTAGTATATGATGAGGTAGTAGCCGGTCGAGTTGAAGACCCACCAGAGGGTCCAGAGGCGCAGCTGCGGCACGCGCAGGTTGGAACCCAGCTCGCGGAGCATGCGCGCGAGGACCCAGTCCCGCCAGGCCGCGGGCGCTGCGCCGAGCTTCCGGCGGGCGGGCGCCCCGGGGCCCGGGTGCATGTGGTCCACCTCGGAGGGCGAGGCCCCGCTGCTCACGGGCTCGCTGCGGTTGAAGAAGAGGCTGCGCTTCGGGCGCTTCAGGAAGAGCGCGAGGACCAGGCTGAAGAGGAGGAAGCCCAGCGAGATGTAGTTGAGCAGGGTGAAGGAGATGCCGCCCACGGTGACGAGCAGCTGGCCCAGCACCGAGCTGCTGAAGACGCCCAGCAGCACGGCCGCCCGCGAGTAGCCGGCCATGCGCTGGTAGCGCGCGGGCCGCACGAGCGAAAAGATGTAGGAGGAGTAGGCGATGCGGGAGGCCATGGTGACGCTGTAGAAGAACTCCAGGAACTGCATGTGCAGGACCGACGTGCCCAGCAGGAGCAGCAGCCACACGGACACGTAGCTCAGGCCCTGGAGCACCAGCACCGGCTTGTAGCGCAGGTAGTCCGTCAGCAGGAAGATGGGCACCAGCACCACCATGTACGAGTAGGACAGCACCGGGATGATCTCGTTGGTGACCTGCAGGACAGCGGACTGGTGACTCCAGCTGGCTGCGCGCCGCGGCCACTGCCGTGCCCTGTGGCAGCCCCCCAGAACCATGCAAGAGCGCTGGCCCCTAAAAACGTCCCGCTGTCAGGACTGTCCAGGGCTTCTGGGGGAGAGAGACACACGGAGACCCCCGAACCTCCCTCCACCCCAGTGGCGCCCTGGCCCACAGGTGTGCTTGTCACAGCGGCAGGGCGCTGACACACACACGTGGCTGAGTGAGAACCACGAAAATAATCCCCAGCGACATGCTGGGTCACGCAGGTCTAGGTTTACCTGTTATTAATAGAATAAAAACATGATTTGATTTCACCTTGAATCTAACAGTAAGGAAAATAGAGCTGTAACCAACATACGCTCACTAATACAGGCTGCCTCAGTCATGGGAGGACGGGCAAAAATGAGACTCAGATAAACATGGCAGAAAGGTAACAACAGGTGAGTTCACATACAACACGAGGACAAGGAACAGAGAGGAAAGGACAGGGACGAGGGAACAGACGGGGAGAGGGGCCCAGGGCACCACTGCAGGCTCACCCAGAGCGAGAGCCAAACGTCCCCCTGGCTGCCCAGGGAGGGTCTGTCCTGGGCCCACCTGCAAGAGAGGCCCCAGCCTTGTGAGGCCCAAGTCCCTGGCCTTGCCCGCTTCCTGGGGTGGACATGAAAGGCTCCTGTGCTTGAAGAAGAGTCTCCCGAGGCCCAGGTCTGGTGGCTGCACCAGACCCCACCTGGCCCCACCCAGGGGCCCCAGCCATGGCTCAGATCCAGCCAGGTGGGCACCAGGTGAGCTGCTGGCCTTAGTGAACATGAAGAGGATGTGGCCTCCCTCGGTGCCCTGACTCAGGGCCCTAACCCTCACTCAGGCCTGACTGCCCACTAACATCAGTGCAGGTGGCCCTTGCCCCCGCCAGGCCAGCCAGCTCCAAGGCCCCACTGCACAGACCGCGGGCCAGAGTCGAGCCCTGGTCAGCGTGCGGGGCCCTGCCCCATCCGCCGCTTACCAGCTGCTAGGAGGCTGGTTGGACCCCCGCGCTCCAAGCAGTTCACCCATGGTTTCTCCAGCCCGGGCACCTGCTCACGGCGCAGCATGTCCAAGTCTGCTCAGGACCCCAACTGACACGCACGCCAACAAGCCTCCATAGGTTTGGAGGGAGACTGGGGAAAGACCCCGACCACAGCTCCCTGCCTGGCAGCCTCCTGAACCCACACGCCCATGGGAAACCAAGGCTGACCCCAAAGGCTGTGGTCCCTGCAACATGGAGCACTGAAAGCCCCCCAGACATTCCAGGACGTTTACTGCAGGTTCACCCGCCGCGGGGGCTGAATCACCTGCGCTGGGTCACAGAGAGCCACGGACTGTGGTTTTGGAAAATCCTGGGAGCATCAAACAGCCCCTCCTTGATGAGACCTCTTGACAGAGGGCTTGCTCAGAAGTGTGTGTGTGTGTGTATGTTGGGGGGGGGCGGCTAGCTGTCAGAGCCCAAGGGGCAGGGTGGGGTCGGAGCAGCAAAGGACCACCTGGTCTTTCCCCTCCCCACCTCCCCACCTCCATCTCCTCCCCTTCCCCACTGCAGCTCTGGTCCTCCCGCTGGCAAACAGGGAGGGGAGGCCAACCACATTACACCTGGAAGGTGCTGGGGAGTGGGCACCCATGAAGGCCCGGGGGCAGGGGTGTCTGTCAAGTGACCGGGCACCTGCACGAAGTCAGCCTCCGACTAGCCCGAGCCGAGGTCCTGGGCGTGATCACAGCACCTCAGTGTTTGGATGGCCAGGTCCAGGCTGGCCGGCAGAGGGCATGAGAGCACGGGAGCTATGCTCAGATCTAAATCCAGGGGCTTCCGGGCCGCTTCTCTGAAGCGGGGAGAGTGAGGAGGCTCGGCTGGGGCCCAAGGCAGCCAGGACAAGCTGGGGGTGGGGCCTGCGGGAGGGACAGGCGCCAGGATGGGGGATGGTGGGTTCTGAGGACCAGTGGGATGAGGGGAACAGGGCAGGGCTGGGCCACAGGTGACGAAATCCAAGAGGAAGAGGCATCAATAGCCAATACCTGGCAGCACCTGGACAGGCATTGAGACCCCTGACTAGACTGGATGGACAGGACAGGGACTGCACGGAGGAGGGGCCCGAGGTCCTGCCAGTGACAGGAGGTGTCAGCCACAGTCCATGGGCCAGGGGCTGCAGGACTTGACCTCAGGTGCAGAGAACCCTCAGGCCTTGAACCGGCCTGGGCGTCACACATCAGGGAAGGGCTAAAGCAGGAAGGGAAATGTGGCTGAGAGAAATCTGGAAGACCCAGCACAGAAGGACACCAGCCTGCAGGAAGCAACGTGTGACCCACACAAGCACCAGGGAACCCCAAGGTCTGAGAAGGCACAGCCCGGTGGACGGCTCGGGGAGGCCAGGAAACACCGCGGCATCAACCGAGGAAATGCAACCCAGCAGCTATCAGATGGGCAGAGAGTGACAAGGCGAGAGGGCACTGTAGTCACAGCAGCCTTCCCCGCAGGGATGACAAACTGGAGCAGAGGCACTGGGTGACCTCTGGTTTGATCCCCTACAGTCCTTAGTCCATGGGGGTAATGTCCCAAGCCAGGCCCGGCAGACCTGCTCACGTGCCCTCACTTTCCAGACACAAGCCTGCCATCCCTCCGACGATATCCAAGCTTAGTGGAATGGCTTAATTTCTGGATCTTACTATGTAATCAGTTAATCTGCACCCAGAGGGCAGGCGGATGGGACTTACAACTTCTCTGCTGTGGAGATTTCCCTGTTTCTTAACAGACGGCGACACACAGGATGATCACCCAAGTAATCTGCACAGCAGACGACAGCCCCTGTCAGGTCAGAACGTTGCTCTAAGGAAGGAGAGCCCTCTGCTGATCAGTGAGGGAGGGACGTCGGACTGGCTACTCAGAGAGCCCCGGGAGGGTCGGGGGGACAGAAGACATCCGAGCCCCCACCCCAGGCCTCAGCTGGGCCATGGCCAGCTCCGGAGGTTAGCGCTGGCTGTGGGATCAGACAGTCACACATGGGCAGGACTCTGAGTTCGTGTGGGCCAGTCACGTGGGCGTTTCCATTTTAAAGCTGGCTGCCTCGAGGAGACAGGCCTTGTCTGCACGGCAGCTCCATTTGACTTAAACGATTCTAGGGTCTGCAAGGGGTAGGGGCCGCGCTCCAGGCAAGGGAGACGGAAGGGCTTCCCAAGACCATCAAGGGGCACAGCAGGGTCGAGCGACAGCAACACAGGGTACAGAGGCTGTCGGCTATGCTGGAGGAACAGACGGAGGCTGGGGGGCTCGGTGGGCAGCCGGGGCCAGCTCTGGGGTAGGGCCAGGGGTCTGCAGGTGGATGGCTTGGACAGGAGCCCTTACTGTGTGTCAATAAAATATTGTTTTATTTTATGGAGAAGGAAACAAGCGAAAGTTGGAGAAGCAAACCCTGGGCTGGAGCCTGCCTGCCCCACGCTCCTCCCCCCGGGACCCACCTCTGTGATACGTTTACCAGCCAGGTTGTCCCCCTTGCGGGTCCCCCCATAAACTCGTTAGGCAAATGACTGCTGGGCCTCTGCTGGGAGCTGGTGTCGGGCAGGTGGGCGTCAGCCTACACTGTTCCCTCAGAGACCCAGTTACATGGAGCCCCTACGGCTGCTGTCGCTCTTCAAGTGTCCTGGTTACAAAATAAGGGGCCTCTCAGCACCCCCGGGGGGACAGGGACGGGGCAGGGCCCAGGACACCACGTGGCTGCCTGAGCTCTGCAGCCTCCCTGTTTCCCTTTGGGGCGCCCTGCCCATACTGTGCGCACTTGCCTGCTTCCGCGTGAAGTTTTTCTCCGGGCCCAGGAGGTAGGGCGTGATGAAACTCTCCCCGGGCCGCATCTGGGCCATGAAGCCGTAGAAGCAGAGGAAGGACACCAGGAACCGCCAGGACTTCAGCTCCGGCTCCGGGGTCACCGGCTTCTCCACCGCCTGGCCGGAGGGCACCATGCTGCCCAGGCCCCTCGTGGACCCTGGGAGGAAAAGCCGAGTCAGGGCAGCTCAGCCAACGGCCCACAGATACCTCCCCCGCTCCCCAGACCGCTTCTCAGTCAGGACCCCACATGGAGACCTCAGCCCCATTCCCTCAACCTGGAGCTGGTAAGAATCCGGTGCCAGGTCCACCCAGACCAGGCTGTCACCACCTCTAGGAGTCCCTATGACTGCACCGTCCCTTACGGCAGCCACCAGCCTTGTGATTAACTAAAACTAAATGCAATTTAAAATCGGGTGTCCTGTGCCTCCCAGGCTCATTTCAAGCGCTCACAGAAGCGGCTGCGGCTGCTGGGTGGGCACACGCCCCTCCCCAGGACAGGTCTCAGGGACAGCCTACTCTGGCCATCCCGTCGGCCTCTGGGGGACTTCATGAACAAGACCGGGAGACAGACAGATGGGCTTTGCAGATAAAGCCTGGAGCAGACAAGGAGACACAAGGGAAAACAGGAGCCCGCGCAGGGCGGACCCAGTGAGGGGAGGGGCCGCAGGGGACACAGGCCCAGACCTTGAGCCTCGGCCTCACCCGGGGGCACTTTGGGTGGCGCCAGGAGCAGCACCAGCTACAGGGCTTTCCGGTTCTGCCCAGAAGCCTCCGACAGCACTTTTCCTTGCCCGCCCATCACCCCTGCTGACAGAGGGGCAGTCAATGGTTTGTTCATCCGAATAGTTACGCCGTTTCTAGATGCCACATGACCTGGCTGCCCATGAAGGCACTGATCTAAAGCTCCTTTTAAGTGAGTCAAAAAGCAAGCTGCCATGCAAATTGTGTCAGGTGAAGGAAGGCACCCACGCTAAGCAGACACGGAGAGAATGAGAAAGAGCCCACCTCCCCATGGCTGAGACATGGTGGGGACGGCCTGAATGCAGAGGGGGGCTGGGGTTAGATGCTGGGGCGGCTCTGGGCTCCGTCCCGCACGGCCTATCCTGGGAGGGCGACTCGACGGCCTGGGCTTGGGGCACAAAAACTTCCTCCGATGTGGGACCGGCAGCCTGGATGCTACGGAAAAGCCCCCCCAGTCCCCTGCACTTGGCCACATGCAGCTCAGAGATCATCTGAGCAGGAAGTGCTCCCTGTCCTCCCAGGATGAGGCGAGAAGCCAGGTGACAGCACACCCCAGGGGCCACCGAGGGCAGAGGAAGCCTTCATCCCAGGCTGATTATTCTGCCCTGCCGAGGGCCTCAGCAAAGGGACTGTGTCCCGATGGGCGGATTCCCTCGCCTTCTAAGGCCCCATGTTTATTTTTGTGGGGGTCACAAGGAAAGGCAGGGTGGGGACAAGGGGCAGCTGTAGGAATTCCAGAGAATTTCAAAGGGAGGGGGCAATGGGGGTCCCAGTAGTTACATGGTTGTGGGATGGCCCCCCGCCATTTTACGGAGCCAAATGAAACACTCAGCCAGGCAGGGGAGCACAAACTTGGCCCTCTCCCCAGGCACCTGGGAAAGAGCTGCCCTGAGCACACAGACCCCCCACCTGCTTTTCCAAAACCCCTACAGTTTGCACAAACAGCTGGGAGGGCCTTGGCCTTCAACAATAGGGGGGTAGGGCAGCCCCTGGCCTCAGGGTACACACAGGAAGAGCCACCCATACCTTGGGTGCATACCCCCCCGACACCCCTTTCCAGCCCCAGGAAGCCCCTCAGTTCACTTTCCCACTCCTAATGCACTGCTCCCCGACGTCAGAGCTACTGGACAGTCCCTCAGCTGAGCACCTACCTGGCCATGGCGAACAGCCAAGAACTTAGCTAGGCCCAGGGTCCCCGAGAGCACCACATACTTGGCCCTTCTATTCCAAAAGCATCATCTCCAGAAGCGATGGGAACTTCCCTTACCCTGTGTCCTGGGGTAGTGCCACAGGTCTCAGGCACCAGTGCCAGGCACACTTGGTTTCATTTCTACATCCTGCATTCCCGTGGCTTCCGAAACCCACAGATACTGCTTCTTAAACTAGTGAGAACACCTGGAAATGGGCACCGGGCCCTGCCCAAGGTGGCCATCTGAAGGTCTGGGGTGTGGCCCAGGACTCTGCACCTTAACATGTCACTCAGGCACACCAGGAGGTGACTGAGCCGCACCGAGCAAACCCGGGAGACACTGCCTCAGGACTCCTGGCTGGTCTGGACGACTGTGCCACCTGGACACCCAGTATCCAGGCTGCAGGGAGACCCCACCCCAACCACCATTCAGATGGGCCCCAAGTCCTCCAGGGTAACAACACAGGTGGACCAGCCTCAGTCCCCAGAAGGATGGACATGCAAAGAGCCACCCCAGGTGACGGCCAGGGAGCCCCCAACATGGGTGGAGCTCAGAGAATTGGGGGAACTGTCTGCAGATGTCCGGGGACCCAGGCAGGAGGGCCGGGGCTCTCCTGGTGCCCCCCCAAGCTGCCTCCTCAGTCCTACAAGCTCTGCCCCTTCCCTCCCAGCCCACCCTCAGGGCTGATCCTATCAAGTGCCTGGCCTCACAGGCTGCCCCTCCAGCTCCAGCCCTGCAATCTGGAACACTGCCCAGCACAGGCAGGGCTCAACCTGCTGCGCCACATAAATACCACGGTCCCCCGCCTTCCTCCTGAGTTACATACCAGGAGCTAGCCCTGCAAGCCTGGGCAAGACCGCCATGTGGGGCGGCCAGGGATTACACTTCTCTGAACTAAAGGGATGCCCTGGGGACTCGAGGCTCGTGTCCACTCTGGAATGTGCCTCTCTCCCGTGTGCACTGCCCACACTATGCTGGCACTGTTGTGCACACCCCTTCAAAAACTTCTGAAACAGGCTGAGGGCTGGACGACAGGGTGACCCCGCAGGACGGGGTTATGGGGGAAGGCAGGGCCGTATACCAGGAGCACTGGCGGCCACACAGGGGCAGAGGCCAAAATTCCAGGGTCTTATCCATTTTTAACACTAGCCGCAATGGAAAACTTGTGGAGCACCGCAGGGCCAAAGCATGTTCACAGAGCAGACTCCAGCCCGGCACCACGGGAGGCCTCAGGCCATTACTCAGCATCCAGGAGGAATGGCCACCTGTGTGGGGACTGAGGTCCAAAGAAAAGAGCTGACGCAGACGCCAGGCCGGACCCCGCCCGTCCAGGGTGGGGTTCATCTGCCTTAAGTCTTATCCTGGCTGTTTATGCAACTCACGTGAGTGCAATCACCAACACTGGCAGGCAGTCAACTGCCCCAGCGAAGCCTCAAAGTCCTCTCTGCCTGGAAAGCAGGCGGCTCTTCTGAACATACAGGCCCTCCCAGCCTCCCACTCCAGGAAGGTGAGGATGGGGACCCCGTCACATGCTCACAGTGCAGAAAAGGGCACAGAAGGCAAGTGAGGTGCCCGAACTCAGGGCCAGTGGGTGGCAGGCCTGGCCTGGACCCCATGTGTCCTGACCCCAGCTCAGCTCCATGTACTTTCAGGCCTCTTCAGGGCAATCAGCCGGAGGGTCACGGGGCGGCCTCCCTGAGGGCCTGCACGCCTGCCTTCAGAAGGCTCTCACAGCACCCCCCACTTTCTGCACCTGCCCTGGGGGAGTTTGGGGCAACAGCTGCTCTCCTCCCAGCAGCACCTGGAACCCAAGATCAAAACAAAAGCAAACAGCACCTCTCTCATTTTGTGTTTTACACCAGCTACTACTCTCACAGGTTAACCAGGGAGGTTCCTTACATTTTAAAAACACCTGATAGTGAAAAAGAAAAAAACCTTTGCACCCTTCCCCCCAGATCACATGACAGAGCTGTGTTCCAAAGAGTAAAATAACCCTCTGGCCACCACTGCTGTAGACAACCAACTCACAAGTTTAAGACACCTGGAGGTGTTGGTCATCTCTGCCCAGTACCAAGCACCCACCAAGGCCCCTCTGAAAGGAAGCGATAGTAGTGCCAATGCAGGGGGGCGTGAAGGTGGAGGGATGCAGTCCAGCCAAGGGAGGCAGCGGGTGACACAAGGGAGGAACCTTGGGGCCTGGGCACTGGGCTGCCAGACCTGCAGAGGGAGGCCATTCTGTTGGGCCAGAGGCCCTGGTTCTGCCGATTTGGTCTGGGCTGCAGGGGCCCTCTAGTTTCCCTTGGGGGCAGGGCGCCCAGCAGGCGGCTGCAAGAACTGTATCCCACCTGCACTTTGCGCGGCCTTGAAAACAGCTTCTTTAGGTGTAGTCTAGATTTCTGAGCCAGCTCAGATTCTAACCAGTATCCTGAGACCAGGCATGCTGGGACTGGACACCCTGTTATGTGGACGCATAGAATGCGCCTGAGCCACTCCGCTGACTCTCCAGGACAAGCGCTTCACACAGGGAAGTAGCCAGTACCCTCGGGGATAGTACACGTGTTGAAAAGGCCTGCCGGCACACTGCCTGGGTCTCTGACAGCCTCCAGGGCGCACAGTGCCAACCGTGCCAAGAGCTGCTCCGGCACTTACAGAGGTCCAGACGTGCAGGAAGTCAGCAACCCAGGGTATGGGACAAGCAGGGCATCAGGGACCACACCTGCGCATGGGTGGGCGGGGCTCTCCCCCCCTTTCCTGCCCAAGCGACGCATGTGCAGAGCTCCAGCATGCTCAATTGCAGCAACGTGCCAGAGTGCCTCCGGTGTCCAAGCAGTTCTGCCCCAACCCGAGGAGGCACCAGAGAAGGGTCCGGGCAACACTCACGGCTAGGGGCGACACTCACAGCACCAACTAGCTGTGTTACCCTGTTACCATAAGCCAGCAATTCTCAACCTTCCTAATGCTGCGACCCCTTAATACAGTTCTTCATGTTGTGGTGACCCCAACCATAAAATGATTTTCGTTGCTACTCTATAACTGTAATTTTGCTACTGTTATGAATCATAATATAAATATCTTTTTGTTTTCCGATGGTCTTAGGTGACCCCTGTGAAAGGGTCCTTTGATCCCCAAAGGGGTCGCGACCCACAGGTTGTAAGCAGAAAGAACAGGGCTACAGGGAGAGAGCAGAGGGAGGAAACACAGGAAGATGCGAGGCGAGACAAAGGAGAGGACATGAGATCATTCTTAAGAAAACGTGCAGCTACAGCTTATCGTATAGGATTGTAACAGTATGAATATTGCAGGAGAAAACTCCACCCCGAGTCGCCATGACAATCCCGTCAAGGGCTAAGAACGCGGGAATCCCACCTCCCCGCCGGAAGGCGTGGTCAGCCAGGTCAGCAAGGACCCGCCTGAGACTTCCGGTGGCGCCACCCCCAAAGCTTGAATTTTTCGCGCCCTCACCCTTTCCTTCTCCGCTAGCAGCCAGACCCAGCAGGGGGGCGACCGAGAGGTGAGCCCGCCCCGTCACGAGGTGCAGAGCGTAGGCGCCCCAGCAGAGGGCAGAGATGCGGCAGCAAGCTGCCTGGGCGAGCACGGGGTCCCCACGTGGGCAGAGGCGGAGGTGGGGGCTGCGTGTGGGGCCCCGGCCGCGCTGGCGGGAACCGGTACATGTCACCATGCGCTCAGGGCGCCCAGCACGCAGCCCCGTGACCCGCCCTTTGCATTCACCCCTGAGACACAGTCCGCGCCCTCTACATTCATCCACGCCTCAGGGCCGCATCCCTCTGCATTCCACCTCGGAGGCACGGAACCCGCGCCCCACGCATTCTCCCCAAGGTCCCCCAGACCTGCAATCCCGGGCTCGCGACCCCACATTCCCGGCCCGCAGGCCAATTACCTTGGCGGCGGAGGACAGGACCCGGCTCCGCCAGGTGCTCGCGCCAGGGCGCGCACCACAACACCCACAATGCTCTGCGGCCCCCCCCTCCTCCCCTGAC